ACCCTCCCCGCACTCGCCACGCTCCTCCCCGCCGGCGCCGCATTAAACCCACCCCCACCCTCAACCCACACCTGCAACAGCGCGGAGCAAAACATCTCCGCCACCGCCGCAGCCCGCGGCCGAAAAACCGCACAAACAACAAACTGATGCATAGTAAACAGCTGCGGAAACAGGACGTGCGCCGCGCGATGCAGCGCGCCACATATATCCTCCACCAGATTCATAACGTAGTTTGACGAGCGGCGCGCGCGGTGCTGGGCCAGACGCGCGGGTGTGTTAGCACTGTATCCGCATTCTGCGGGGGGGAAGGCGAAGGGCTCGTCGTGCTGGTGCGGCGGGATGGCGAGGCAGCGCGCTGTTATGCCTGCGCAGAGGCGGTGCAGGACGGCGATGCGATGCGTGGACCGCATGTTGGCGCGCGTGTGCAAGTACTTACGATATCCTTGTTCAGAAATAGTGAGTGCTACGAAAGGGGCCGTCATGTTGTCGATATAAAACGCATGTTCCGACGGCTCGTCGCTGATGTACTCTCGCACTCTATCCCCGATCTCGCGGTACTGCCGCGGCGTCGGCGCAACACCGTGGGACTCGGCGAGGAGATGAACGTATATCGACGGCTGGCGGCTGGCACGCTGCAATATATCTGCGTGTTCTGTGCGCAGGTCAGCGTCGTGCTGCATGCGACTTACTAGGTTTCCCTCCACGGCTGCGGTGAAGACAGTGGAGGCGGAGGCGAGGATGAGGGCACATTCGCGCATGTGCGACACTCTGTCTGCGGGGTTGATGGCGCTGCTGTTTGGTGCGTATTTGGGGAGCTCGGCGGCGAGGATGTCATGGATTACGGGGTGGTAGTGCTGCGTGCGGAGGAGGTGAATCCAGCGTTTACGCTGCTCTGTGAGGGTTTCTGGGGGGAGGGGGATAGGGGGTTCTGCTTGTTGTTGGTCTTCGACGGCTTGGTCGTAGGTCGTTGTGCGGGTTGATACCATATTTGTTCACCTGTTGCCAATGATTGGTATGGTATGAAGATGGGTGTTCTGGAAGTAAAGTCTTCAAGAACGACGGAAAGGCGAGAGAATGCTGCGGAGATATACAGACTAACAGCTGGGAGCCATACACATACGTGACTGACACGCGATGGACACGTCTTTGCCTTACATGTTGTGTTGTGAAGTGTTCAGGCTCAATACATGTTGTTGATAGACAAGATGATGAGATGAATGATGAATAGGTAGCGCTGGCTGGCATAACTGATATCTAAGGCCGAGATTCGTGGTGAGCTTCCCACTTCATCCCCGGCATCTTCATCAGGTTCATCTCTCTATTCGCTCTCTGTATATTGATGGCTCGGTTGTTTTCCTCTCTACGCATGCCATGTTTCTTCAAGCACTGTTGTGGACACGTCGTTGAAGTGAGTATCACGATTTAGGAGATAAGCAGTCCATACACGGCACTGCACTGTATAGGTAAACCGCTAGATAAGCAGTGACTGACTCCATCCATTCGTTCATTCATTTGTTCGATCGTTCGTAGTCGATCTCGTATACCATACACCATTTCTCCTCTCGTCATCATCGTCAATGTCGTAATCACCCAGTCGACGCACACAGCCGTCTTTTATCTTCATCCCTTCACTCCCTCCATCTCCCCCACCAGCTCACCCCCTCACACAAACAATCTCCTCCTCCCAAAACATCCCCTTCCCCAACTCCTCCGCCCCTCCCTTCGCCAACGGCGCCACAACCCCCTCAGGCCTCCTCCCCGCACAAAGCGCATCCACCTTCCCATCCCCTCTTCCCCCACCACTTCTACCCCCCACAAATCCTCCCCCTCCTCCCCCCCTGATATTCTCCCCTCCCCCCGCAGCGCGATTAACCCGATGCAGCACCCCGCCATGCAAATCGCCCTTGAGCTCTTCACGCGCATCCCGATCCGCAGTCGCGTATTGAAACTCGGTCCAACCGAAGACTTGCGCCTCGAGGCCTGCAGGAGCGCGGCCTGTGCGCAGGGGTGGGGGGGCGGCGGTGTGGAAGGCGTGGTCGCGGTCGCTTATGGCGGCTGTGTCGTGGTCGAAGCGCTGACGGCCTAGGTCGTGGAGTTCGGTTGTGGGCGTGAAGACTGGGGTGGGGTGGGTCATTTTTGGAGGGCGGCTGCGGGGGGTGTGTGAGTGGGATGGGGGAAAAGGGGAGGCGGAGGGGATGTACCTGGGTGGTTTGGGGTGTGTGGTGTTTTGTTTTGTTTGATGGCGGTGATGAGTAGGTGTAGTGTGATGTGAAGTAGAGGGCTGAGGAAGGAAGGAAAGAAGGAAGGAAGGCGCTGGTTATGTACGTGTTTTGGGCTTGGCGGTAGAACTAGTAGGAAGGTCATGGCGCACTGGTGAAGGTGAGTTAAATTACCAATTTGTATCTCACCGCGCTCTTACAAGGTGAGATATCGATATCCACGCAGTATCCATCATCTCACCTAGCCATCACTCCACAGTGTTCGACACCCTCCATGCGAACTCCCACCCCTACGCCCAAACAAGCCACACATCATCAAATCTCTACACTCCACCACACGATGTACAGACACCACAAAGCGAACCTGCAGCCACAAACACATCACCCACCAACCCTAAACCCCCGATGCACCATCCCACACAGACTCTCCCAAAGCACCCGATCACCCCCCCTCACCCACTCAACAACAACCTCCCCCGCCAACTCAACAACCCGGATGCGAAACACAATCTGCACCTCGCCCTCCTTACCATCCCTATCCTCACCCCCCATCTCACTATCAACAACCCCCTCTTTCTTCCGCCTCTCGTACCCCCGCCGATACGCGCGGCTCCATACATTTCCCCGCGCTTCGCCGATGCCAGTTGCTGTTGCGGCGTCCCATGTCCAGCGTAGATCGAGGGCGGCGAGGGAGGTGAGGAGGGCGGTGAGAGAGGGGCGTGGGGTGGGGGGGAGGGGGATGGAGTAGGATGTTGGGAAGGGGAGGGTGTCGTTTGCGATTGTTTCGAGGCGGGCGGTTGTCTGGGGGAGTTAGTTAGTTTTGTTCGCGTAGGAGGTTCGTAGGATGATGAGCGAAGTTGTAGGGAGGGAAAGAGAGAAGGAGAAAGATGAAACCCCGAAAAAACACCTACATTCCTTGGTCTCCAGTCCCCAAAACTCCACGCCACAACCCAGCGTTTCGTCGCGGATCCGGTGTCTACCACACCCACAGCCCAATTCGTAATGCCGTGTTTCTTCAACAGCTCTACAATACTCTTAGCGCTGGACAACTTGCACAACATACTACTATACCACCCCACCCTCTCCCTCAACACCAAACTCTCCTCCACAATGCGCGTCACGAACCCCAGATCCCCACCCTCACACATCATCTCCACATCTGCGCCCGTGCATACCGCATTCGGTTTCCACATCTTGCCCTCGCCCTTGAGACTACTCTGCATATCCTTCTCATCGGCGAAGAACGGGGGGTTGCAGATAGTAAAATCCAGCCGATCGACACCCAGCGCCGCGAGGGGGATCAGGGGGCTGAGCTGCGTAGTTTGCAGCAGTCTGGTGCGCGTGATGAGGCTGTTGAGCGCGAGGTTGCGGGCGGCGGAGTCGAAGCTCTTCTTGTCGATGTCGGTGGCGCACATGCTCCAGTTTGGACGGGATTGGAGGCACAGCATGGTGTAGATTGCTGAGGCGCCGGTGCCGATGTCGAGGCCGGTTACTTTTCTCGCGGGGTCGTAGGTCGTGCTGTAGGTGGGGGAGGTGGAGTCGATGAGGGATTGCAGCCAGGAGACGTAGTTCCAGCGGTTGGGGATTGGGGGGCAGAGACGGTCGTCTGGGAGGGAGAGTTGGAGGTTAAAGTCGACGTTGAGGATGGCGCTGGAGAGGGTTTTGACGGTCGTGGGGTCGTGGAAGTCGAGGTGGCCGGATGTCTTTTGCCATAGTTGTTTGAAGGACGCGTCTTTTTTGGCGAGGGCTTTGAAGTCGATGGCGGTGTAAGGGGGGCGTTGGGTGAGGTCCATGTTATCTTCTATAAGTACGATTGTGAGTTATACCTTACCCCTTAATCAATGTGCAATTGTGGAGATGTCTTGAGATGAAGTGAGATCAGGAAGTGACAAACTCGTGATAGAAGTGAACGCTCGGGCCACAGAGCGCCGATTGGTTGTAGTGTAGCATATGAAAGTAGATGGGATGAGATTGATATACAAACCGATACAAAGACAAACTCCCGCTCACTCTATGCTATCCCCGTCCAACGCCACGCCCTATGTATGCGCACTAGATCAAGAAAGGGCCGTCGTATGCGCCATCTGGCTCGAGCAGGCGAATCTCCTCGAGACTGGATACGGTGTTGGGCTTGTAGAACCCCAGCAGCATCTCCATGTCTTCCTCGGTCATGGCGCAGAGGTCGTCGAGGGAGTATTGTTCGCAGACCTTGATCATCCTGCATGTCGTCAGTATTGCATTCAAACATAGCAGACGATTGAGTGTACCATTGCATCCTCTTTGGCCCTTCTTCAATGTTGGGCGCAACCTTTCTCAGCTTCTTCCGCAGCATGCCCACTCTTGTGACAGCGGCGCCGATGTTGTGGGGCAGGCCGGCGGCAATCTGCCTCCTCACGATGTTGGCCAGTTTGGGACCCTTGCCGTTTGTGCTGACCATGATCTGCAAGGGCCCGTCGCGGTGCACGCTGCCAAAGTAGAAGTCGCACTCTGGCGGGACGTCGGCAATGTTCGCAGCGATGCGCTTCTCCTTGCAGAGCTTCCATATTTGGGATGATGCGACGGGGTCGTCGACGGCGGTCAGGACCATGTCGACGCCGTCCAGGTCCGAGGGCTCGAACTTGCGATCGACGTAATCGACCTGGCCCTGCTCGATACGGTAGGCGACTTCATCGTTGAGGCCTTCGCGCGGCGACACGACGGTGATGTTTGCGTCGGCGTTGAGGACGTTGACGATGCGACCAGCAGCTACCTAGACTCCAGTCAATGGTCAATACTTTGCCGGGGCCGAGGTTGGCAAAACATACCTCGCCGCCACCGACGACCAGCACACGCTTGTTCCGTATCTGCCATGCCAGTATTAACGAGCCGCCGCCCTGGATCTCTGGATAGGGGCCCTTCATGGTTGGGGATGTCGGGAGGAGAAGAGGCGATGAAGGGCGCGCGCGGAGATGTCGAATTGATGCATGCACCGGCCCTCGTCAGCCAAGCCAGGCGATGCCGGCCCGGTGAATGGCTGCTATCGATAGCGGCGTGTCTCGACGCGCTCTGGCAGGCATGCAGGCGTCCAGACGAGTCTCCATAATTGCTGCGTGCTCCATAATTATCGGCGTGCTACTGGCCATGGAGTTAGCGGCTGCACGCGCATGTCAGACCGTGAGCACCGCCGACTCTCTCACTCCTCACAACCATGACCTCGCGCAGGACATTAGGCGGCGGTCGCGTGCTGGGCAGCGGGAGGAGTCTTAGTACTAATATCACCACTACCACTACTAATTCTGCTGCTCCTGCTGCAACTACTACTACACCGCGGCTAGCAGCCCAGCACCGGCGCAATGCCAGCCTGCTCTCACCTTCGGAGAGCTCCGTGTCGCTGAGCTCGCAGGCGTCAAACAGCCCCGCCAGCACCGTCGAGACGAGAGAAGACATTGGCAGCAAAGTGCTGCTGGGGCCGGGGGAGAGTGCGGCCGCGAGCGCCTCCAGCAAGCTCGTGTGTCCGATATGCAACGAGGAAATGGTAGGCCACTGGCACCTTCCTCACAGAACCCGCGTGCAGTGAACTGATGTGGCCAGGTGACGCTGTTGCAACTCAACCGGTACGGTTACACACCACATGACCACCCCCATCCATCCTAACCCACGCCAGACACCTCGATGATAATCACCAGAATCTGGTCGAGGAGGAGCAGGACGAGGTCAAGAACTGGTTCGAGGCCCAGATGGACAAGGCCAAGAAGTTCCAACCGCTTGCCGTGCTGAACCAGAAGCTCAAAGGTCTCGACGTGTTTGAGTCGAACGATGCCCCCACCCCACCGCCGCTGTCCAACAGCTCCCGCAGCACCTCCGCTCCCACACTGCACGATGCACCCGCCCCCGTCCGCAGAGACCCCGACGAGGAAGTCACACGCAAGCACTGGCAGCGCCCCGGCAACCGCGACGTGTGCTTGGAGCCAACATGCGCAAAGCCCATCACAGCCTCGCAGATAGCACTGGGTGGGAGGGAGGCGGCTGTCAACTGCAGACAGTGCGGGAAGCTGTTCTGCGAGGAGCACACCATGTATCAGATGAAGCTGTCGCGACAGGCAAAGCACGAGCCGGTCAGGGGGATATGGTGCAGGGTGTGCGAGACGTGCTACAAGTCGAGGGAGGGCTACAACGACCACCACGCAGCCGAACGCAACCACTTTGACGAGTTTGCAAACATCAGACGGAAGAGGGTGGACAGAGAACACATGGAGGTCAGCAGGCTGGAGAAGCGCCTCTCAAAGCTGACGTCCTTGCTGGCGAACCCACCGCCTGAGGAGACGCTGACGGCGAGTAGCTGGTTTGCAATACCGGGAGCCAAGAACCAGCGCAAAGTCCTGGAGCAGTCCATCATCACATGGGAAGAAGACGCGAAAGTCTCAAATTGCCCGTTTTGCCAGCAGGAGTTCTCCACCTACACATTCAGGCGACACCACTGCCGGATGTGCGGTCGCGTCGTGTGTGGTGACCCCAAGACGGGGTGCTCGGCAGAGGTGGGCTTGAATGTTGCGTCGGGTGAGTTTGCACTTGGCTGTGTTGGTGTCATCTATACTCATCTCATCTAGGCACGAGCAAGACCGAGAAGGATGCTGGCCAAATGAGCGTCGACATTCGCATGTGTCAGGATTGCCAGCACACACTTTTCAGCAGGAGGGATTTTGACCGCGAGCTAGCCGACAAGCCAAAGGACCAACGCGCGTATGAAAATCTGGCCCAGTTTGAAAGAGGCATTCGATTGCTTCTACCACGTTTTCAGAAGCTTTTACAAGCGTTACAAGACCCGGACAAGCCGCCCACACCCCAACAGCTGACTGATGCTACTAAAGTGCGAAAGAGGTTGATGGATGCATTCGCGCAGTTCGACGCTGCCGCTAAACGCATACGCGATCTCCCCACAGACTCACCCACACAGAAACGGCTACAGAACGCTGTCTACCAGCAAGCCTACAGCTTCTTGAGCCTTCACATGCTGCCATTGCGCTCCTTGCCACGAATACTAAAGCATGCTGTGCCCCAAGGGTCTAAGAACAACGGACCTTCGAACGGCGGCGGTGCACTCGCCGCGATCAAATTCAACGACAAGTCAGCCGGCAGCGTCGTCAGCAGCAGCGAAGTATCTGCCATGGAGTCAGAAGAAAGGGAGTTACGCGAGAGACTGATCGTTCTCGAAGAGCAGAAGTTCATGGTCTCGGAGATGGTAGCAGATGCTACGAAACACCGCAGATTCGACGAGGTCTCGAGTCTTGCACAGAACGTCGAGGACCTCAACCAGGAGATTGACCAGATCAATGGCCAGTTGGGACAGCTGGATTTTGCTGGCGCGTATCAGGGAATTATGGCTACGCCGTCGCCGGGGTGAAAGACGGATGTGCATTGTTAGGCGGATTCTTTACCCGCCATCAACTTTCTCAAGAGCCGGATCAGACGCGTTAGAAGGACACACTACGGCATGTTACTTGCAGGAATGCGAATCATGAGTCTCTCGAAGTTAGCGGAGACAAACCGTCGCCGCGGCATGAGCTGTTCAGCTGGATATCAGACGGCCTAAGCTGGACGACAAACGAAGTGCACCCCATCTCTTAGCAATCGCGGATATGCGCGCTGTAAGACGGAGAACTAAGTGTCGCAGCGGACCGAGTATATCGGGAGACGAATAGCATAAACTAGAGAGTATAATGCAAGATGCAGTCGGCCAATATCATAATATCGCAAGCGCAACGTTGATACATTATCACGTACCTGCGTTCTCTTCTCCTTTCCTCACATGCGAATAAACGCTGAACCAGGCCAGACTACGCCAGAAACCAACACATGTTGTACACCCTCTTGCCATCCATCAGCAGTGAACCCCCATTCTTCCCAAGCAAAAGTCACAAACACACATATCCCCCCTCCCCCCCTCCCTTCCCCAGAGAACAAACACTAAACAGTCACCCCCCTCCCCCCACCCCCCCACAACCCCCCCACACTCTCCGCATCACTCTCCCCCCCCACACTCCCCCCCGGCGTCCCAACAGGTAAATCCAACTCCTCCCCCAGCACCCCCTCAGGACAAACATGCTCAGGCACACTAAACGAGCAAACCGTATACGGCGCTTCAATGCGCGCGCGTATCTCCGCGTTCCAGAGACGTAGGGCCGCGCCGTGGAGCCGTAGGGATTCGGCGCGGAGGAGGAAGAGTGTTGTGCGGGTTTTGAGGGGGATGGTGTCTGGGCGGGGTGGTTTTCTGGGCGTGAGGGACGGGGAAGTGGGAGGGGAGGTGCAGGCGCGTTCCAGCGCGGGGTTGATTTGGCACCATACGCATTGTGCGGTGGGTTGTGTGGGGTGGGGGGGGATGGCGCGGTATTTTGGATGGGTAGGCGGTGGGCGTTCAGATCCAGATTCTGGTCCAGACGGACCCGCTTGACTGCTACTCGGACGAGGTGTAGGCACGACTTCCGCAGCAGGTGCGCACTCTCTCCGCCGCTGTGGATGCGAAACAGAAGATACAGATACAGGCATAGATGCGGTTTGCGTCCCCCTCTCTTTCCCCTTCCCCTTCCCCTTCCCCTTCGACGACGACCCACCCCGCCGCGAACAAATCGACGTCTGCGTCCCCCTATCTCTCTCCTTGCCGCGCGCGGGCCCCCTGACCCAAGCATCGCGCAGCGAACTGCTTCGCGAGGGGATGAGGCGCAGGGGGAGCGCGAGGGGATGTGCATTGGTTTGTGGGTGGGAGGGGCCGGAGTGCTCGTTCCGCTGGTTCAGCGACTGGATGCGGCGGCGTGGTGGGCCTTTTTTTCCTTTTTCTGGTGCTTGGGCTTGTCGTTTTGGAGAGAGGGGGCGCGGTGGTATGGTAGGGTGTGGTGACATCGTGGGGTGTGGTTTATGCGCGTGTTGGATGTGAGCGTGGGATATATGGGGGATGGAAGGAGGGAAGGAGGGAAGGAAGGGAAAACATATGATGCATGGATTTAACGGCTATTTTGTGGTTGGAGCAATGTGGATTGGTATACTTGGACCCTTGTCTACCGGAGTTGACATGCTGGGTGGATGGTATTCGCTGGGAAGTCTGGTAGCCCCCGCTTTGCACCCGTTCTTCTGTGTATGTGTGTGTGTACATCGGCGAATGGCAAGTAGAGACGGGTGTGGCGTGGCATAGCAGTGCAGCGACTATGGGGTGAATAGAAGAGAAGAGATTAGGATATGCCGTGGCGTGGCGTGGCATGGCTCATTCATCTCACCATCTCAACATTCTGGACCTGTTGACGTGGACAGGAGATAGCACACAGCGAATAGCGCATAAATCGAGGTGGTACAGAGATATTGGCGGGCGTGGATCGTGGGGACATGTGATAGGCTCGAGACGTGTTGATGCATGCTGGTAGTGGAATTTCATCGTGGTACTCTGGATTGCTGGGTAGTGTAGTGGGTAACCTTCTCCATGGCTCTTGTTGCGCAATCCGTGCTTGGTCGGGGCGGGAGTTGATTTTTCCCGCTTTTTGGGTTGTGGGCGTGGCTTGTTAGGGACGCTAGGGCTGGTGGCGATCTGGTGCTGATACGGATATATGTTGGTTGTACTCAGACATCTCTAGTCTGCTGGATAGTAAACAGCTTCTTTTAGTTATTTACTCGTTGCGCTGACGGTATGGCGGGTCATTGATGGGAGGGACGTCGGGATAGAGTACGGGGTAGGGGTAAGCGACGGCTCGACAACGCATGTCTGCAGTTGGGGCTGGCATATTCAGAACGGTGGAGATGAACACCGCCGCAAGAGGGAACGTGGATAGAAAGGTATCGGATTTAGAGATATGGTGTACGTTTTCCTGAATTTGAGAATGTTCGGATAATGAGAAACTATGGCATACTGACTAAAGGATTCATGAAATAATTCAGTGTATATTCAGTGCTCTAGTTATTGATACTGAAACTATTTATGGAGTAAAGACCTTCGATGAAGACATGAATAGTTGCGATGGCAGTCCTGGCCTTGCTAGTTGCAAGACGAGAATGATGAAGCCAGTGAACCTAAAACCCATCCACCGTGTAAACGAACCCGAACACCGTAACGCCCCGTAACCAGTCAGTCCCAACCAACCTCAGATATCACGATAACGACCCCGCAAAACCTCCGGCGCATACAGTTTCGTAGTAGCCCTCTCCATCTCATCCGCCACCAAGACCCAGAAGTTGCGCTCGACCTTCGCCACCGCCAGCAAAAGCTGCTCCGACTTCTCCGCCGTCTCGAGCTCAGCCTGATCATCCAGCTTCGCGCGCAGATTCACCCTGAGTTCCATGGCGTTGTCGTAGTTCTTGACGCGCTTCTTGCCCGCCTTGCTGGTCGTGCCCGTGCCGTTGTCGTCGGTGTACAGGTTGGGGTGGCGCAGGTGCATGTAGTCCTTGGGGTCGAAGCCGATTTCGTGTGTGGCGGTTGCGAGACGCGGTGTGCTGCGGACGAGGCGGCTGTAGACTGCGGGCTCGGTCCATGTTGCTGCTTCGCCGCGGGCAAGACGCGCTTGGTTGAGGTGGGAGACGATGTCGTGGAACTTCATGTGTTGGTCGTCGCGGAGCGTCTTGATGGTTTGCGCCTCAGGGTCTTCTTCTAGATGGCGGTTGCTGTTATGCTTGGGAACTTGTGGTGAGATAGCATCGTTGTCGTCAACTTTGGTTTTGGTGTTGCGCGCTCGCTTGGGTCCGCTCATGTTGGGCAGGGAAGACGTGCTGTGAGTATACTTCAGTTTGATGTTGCGTTTCAGTACCAATGAGGAGTCTTCGTCTTCAGACCTAAAAAGGCCGGGAGAGGTGTTTGGATCTGGGGAGGGGTGCCTAGTGGGGGACTCGAGAGCCTGTTGGGAGATGTGGTCTTCTTCTGGATCGGTGAGTGATGACAGGCTAAGATATAGACGTTAGGTGTTTTACCTCCAAGCTCAGAGGCGATAAGTGAGTGAGAGACGGCATCCGTGCTGGCCTTTGCCCCCTCACTTGTTTTGTTGAGCAGCACTGGACCAGCACGGCCATGGAAGACATCATCGTCAGAATCTATGGAATGGAGAGAGCGGTCAGGATCGCTGCTCTCCTCAATACTGTCAATACTAGCGGTCATCTTTACAGTAATCAACAATTACACGTAAAGTACAGGTGTTGTGAGTGAGATGCTAATTGATTTAGGCCATATGTTGTCGTGATATTGATTAACTTGCAAACGCTTATAGAAGATCAGAAACCATTTGAAACTAACTAGTCGATAGTGGATTGCCCAACGCGGGGAAACAAAGTGCTGAAATGTCTATGCGTCAACGAGAGGAACCCTGGGCCATTGTTGAGGGAAAATCCACTAATGCCACACTTTCCATAACAAGGTATGATGTGGTGGCGTCTATGAGTGAAACTACAGTGCGTGGAACGATCCCAGTGAATGGAGTTGGCTTGCGCTTGGATAGCGGAGAACGACAGTGTGCGCTAGAATTACCCTGAAAGTGAATCCACCTAAGTGTAAGCTTGAAGAAAGGCGGTAAATCTGACCGTATATGCTAGCATTGAGAAAGACCTGAACATGGTCATTTTGTGAAAAGGAGTGTGGAGTGCGTTGAGTGTGAGATAGAACAAGAAAATGAACGTCAGATTGACAGGAACTTCTTAAAACCTAGCATTGGAATTCTTGTCACCGAGATCACTGTGGCCGTCTTTTACTACTCTCAGGCTTCCCTCCGGCTGCGCGTGATCAATAACCTTCTCGCACGCTGTTTGTCTACTAACGATGAGCAAGAGACATGCGACAACAGCATAGCTCTCATCGATCCAGTGCAAGCAAAATACTGCCATCGCTACGCGTTCTACAATCATGGATCATATTCAAGATTCATGGTCAATTTGAGATATGAGGACGAGTGGTGTACACACTGAGACACGGATCATATGGATGGTCTGACAAGTACAGTTTTTTCACCAACATCTTGAGCAATTTGTGCCTGGTTTCTCTTCTATATCCGACGCGTGCCGGTAGGATGGGAAAAGCCGGAAAATGTAAGCATTGGGAGAGCAGAGAAGGGATGTAAGGTCAAGAGTGAAGCAAACAACAACAAGAGAAATGTTGCAAGGGAGGAAGTCGTTCATGACGACGTCTGTGGTTACACGCGCTAAACATCCCTAGCGCGTTCGAGTCAATGCCCCTCCAAAACCCCTCCAACGACTCACAAAGCGCGAGTATTATCGCAAGACAAGTACAGCTCGAACGTTGTAAAGGTATGTACGCGCCTGATACCTCGAACCCTCACATAGCAGCCTGAGATGCACAACGAGTGCTGTGAAAAACATTGAGGTCAAAATATCGAAAAGGTACTAACCCAACCTGTCTTGCAGCACCATGGCCGAACTGTCCGATACCACAGCTCTCACCGAAGACAAGGGCCCCTCCAAGCGAGCGCTGGAGAAAGCCGCAAAGAAAGCAGCAGCAAAAGCAAAAAAGGCCGAACATGCCCTGCGTCCCAAGGAAGCCGCCAAGCCCACCTCCGCAACAGCACCAGTCAGTGTCTTTGCAGAGGGCTGGCTAAAACGCGTCTACGAAGAGAAGCCGGTTAAAGACGTGCGCACCCGATTCCCGCCCGAGCCCAACGGTTTCCTACACATTGGGCACTGCAAGGCGATTGCGGTCGACTTTGGCTTCGCGAAACATCACAATGGGGCTTGCACGCTGCGATATGACGATACGAATCCAGAGAAGGAGGATGAGATTTATTTCACGAGCATTCTGGATTCGGTGAAGTGGTTGGGCTTCGAGCCGTCGAATATCACGTATAGCAGTGATCGGTTTGATAAGTTGTATGAGCTGGCGGAAGTGCTAATCAAGAAGGATGGCGCTTATGTGTGCCATTGTTCTAGTATGTCATGACAATTCCAAAACTTGCACATTCACGGCTAATAGGTGGTGCAGGAGAGGAGGTCAACATGCAGCGCGGTGGACCTGACAACAGGGGCAAGCGCTACGCCTGCGAGCACCGCACACGACCCATCGACGAGTCCATCGCCGAGTTCAGGGCCATGCGCGATGGCAAATACAAGGCGGGAGAGGCATACCTCCGCATGAAACAGAGCTTGACCGACCCCAGCGAGGGCAACCCGCAGATGTGGGATCTGCCCGCTTACCGCGTTGTCGAGAACAACCACCACCACAGAACAGGCGACAAGTGGAGAATCTACCCCACCTACGACTTCACGCACTGCATTTGTGACGCGCTGGAGGGGATTACGCATTCGCTGTGCACGGTTGAGTTCCGTCAGTCCAGGATCTCGTATGACTGGCTTCTGGAGCAGCTGGATATGAAGGTGCCCAAGTCGGAAGAGGTTGGGCCCATGCAGAGAGAGTGAGTGTTGTCACGCATGTTTGATGTACATCGTACTCACGCTGTTCAGGTTTGGCCGCTTGAGTGTCGGTGGCACTATCCTCTCGAAACGGCGCATTCTCATGCTTGTTGAGGGTGCGACAATCGAGAAGAAAAACGCAGATGGCACAGTAGAGACAAGAAAAGTCCCGCCATCAGTACGGGGATGGGACGATCCCCGTCTTTTCACACTAGTTGCCTATCGACGCCGCGGTATTCCAGCCAAGGCCATGCTCAACTTCATTTCGGAGCTGGGTGTAACTGACGCCAACACTGAGATTGAGCCTGCGCGTTTCGAAGCCTCCATCCGCAAGCATCTTGAACGCACCGTACCCCGCCAGATGCTGGTCCTTGACCCAGTCAAGGTAGTAATTGAAGACTTTGCCAGCGAAGACGAGCAGGAGATCACCGTCCCCTACGATCCGAAGGGCACTATTCCAGGCGAGCGAAAGGTGAAGGTCGGCAGCGAGGTCTACATCGACCGCAGTGACTTCCGTGAAGAGGACAGCGACGACTATTTCCGCCTCGCACCCAACAAGGCCGTTGGTCTCTACAACGTGCCATTCTCTATTCGTGCGACGTCCTTTTCGAAGGATGAGAGTGGCAACGTCACGGAGATCAAGGCTGTCAAGGTGCCAACATCAGAGAAGCCAAAAGCATACATTCAATGGGTCGATGCGGCGACGGCTGTCCCGGTCACAGCGCGCTTGTACAACTCCATCTTCAAGACAGAATCGCCCAACACGCTAGACTGGAAGACGGGTGGCTGGGCTGATGATCTACGCTCTGACTCGGAGGTTGTGCACGACAAGGCAGTGATTGAGAGGGGGTTGAAGGATCTCATCAAGGAGACGTCGTTGGACTTGAAGGGGTCATCGGATGCGCTCGTGCGGTTCCAGGCCCTGAGGACGGCGTACTTTTGTGTGGACATTGAGTCGACGGAGGAGAGGATTGTGCTCAATCAGATTGTCAGTCTGAGGGAAGACAAGGGCAAATAGATATACACTGGCGTTGGAATGCGAGGTGGCCAGAAGAATGTGTAGATACCCCAGACAATCGCATGTACTTCGAGTCTGGGATGATTTCAGCCTCATGACGCTAGTCCGGGTTGGTAACGTTCGTGAATGTTCTGTGGCGGAGCGTCGGGGAACCACGCGCCGACATCTGCGCGTGGCGGTGGAAAGAAGGTGGCATTTCCACAAGTCGACGGACGTCCTTCTGGACACGACACACAATGGCGCCGCTCGTCGACAACCCCCAGATTGCGCAGTCGAGTCTGCACAATCCGTTGCCGCTGCAGCTGCACACTTACATCTGGCCGTTCCTTATCGTCTGGCCCGCCTTCTCTGCCATCTACCTCTCCGCCGAGCGCTACGAGAAATACATTCAGTCGTCAGAATGGACCTTCGTGTGGATGTCCAGCATCATCACGGTCCAGTCGCTGGTGTGGCTCATGACACAATGGAACATCAACCTGCAGAGCGCCTTCACCACGCTCAAGGCCAACGACGTGCGCAGCGCACAGCTCATCAAAGTCCAGCCCGTGGCCAACGCCGGCGCCGCTGAGATCTGCAGGCTGGTGCGCGACAATGTGGGCGGCAAGCAGAACCTCTCCTTCCTCTTCCAGAAGCGACGCTTCCTCTACGACGCCGACAAGGGCAGCTTTGCCCCGCTCTCGTACCCCCTCGACGCCGAGCCCAAGCCGCAGCTGAAGACGTTCCAGCAGACGCAGGGCCTCGCCACGTCCGCGGAGATCGAGCGCATCCAGCAGCACTATGGCGACAACACCTTCGACATCCCCGTGCCCACCTTCACCGAGCTGTTCAAGGAGCATGCCGTCGCGCCCTTCTTCGTCTTTCAGATCTTCTGCGTGGGGCTGTGGATGCTCGACGACTACTGGTATTACTCGCTGTTCACCCTGATGATGTTGGTCATGTTCGAGAGCACCGTCGTGTGGCAGCGCCAGAGGACCCTGGTCGAGTTCCGCGGCATGAGCATCAAGCCATACGATATTCTGGTCTACAGGCAGAAGAAGTGGCAGGAGGTCATGAGCGACAAGCTGCTACCTGGAGACGTCGTCAGCGTGGGCAGGACAAAGGAGGACTCGGGCGTGGCCTGCGACATGCTCCTCCTCGAAGGCTCTGCGATTGTCAACGAGGCCATGCTTTCAGGAGAGAGTACCCCGGTGCTCAAGGAATCGGTACAATTGCGTCCCGGCGAAGCGCGTCTCGAGCCAGAGGGCGTCGACAAGCTCGCCTTCCTCTGGGGCGGCACAAAGGTCCTCCAGGTCTCTCACGGCAACGACGCCGAGGACGATGGTAGCGTTGTAACAAGGCTCTCGTCTGGCGTCACGCCGCCCCCCGACAAGGGCGCCATTGCCGTCGTCATCAAGACTGGCTTCGAGACCAACCAGGGAAGCTTGGTCAGGACCATGATTTACGCCACCGAACGCGTCTCTGCCAACAATATCGAGGCTCTGCTCTTCATCCTCTTCCTCACCGTCTTCGCCATCGCTGCCTCGTGGTATGTCTGGAAGGAGGGCGTCAAGCTAGACCGCCAGCGCAACAAGCTTCTGCTCGACTGTGTCTTGATCGTCACCAGCGTCGTTCCTCCCGAGCTGCCCATGGAGCTCAGCTTGGCTGTCAACACCAGTCTTGCTGCGCTTAGCAAATACGCCATCTTCTGCACCGAACCCTTCCGCATTCCCTTCGCTGGACGTGTCGATGTTGCCTGCTTTGACAAGACGGGCACGCTGACTGGTGAAGATTTGGTCGTCGACGGTATCGCTGGTCTCTCGCTGGGTCGGGATGGAGTGGCTGGGTCGGATGGCGCATACACGGGAATGACAAAGGTCACCGACGTCGCAACAGAAACCACGCTGGTCCTCGCTACCGCCCATGCGCTCGTTAAACTCGATGAGGGAGAGATCGTTGGTGAACCCATGGAGAAGGCTACCCTTCAGTCGTTGGGCTGGAAGCTTGGAGCTAGGGATACCCTCACCGCCGCTACGACCACCGCAAAGTCTCACGCCGAACTCGTTCAAATCCGTCGCCGCTTCCAGTTCTCGTCCGCCCTCAAACGCCAGAGCTCCGTCGCTACAGTCCTCGTCCACAACACCAAGACCGGCCGCAAGGTCAGGAGCACATTCGTTGGTGTCAAGGGCGCGCCCGAGACGATTCGAAAGATGCTGGTCAACACGCCACCAAACTACGAGGAAACCTTCAAGCACTTCACCCGCAATGGTGGTCGTGTGCTCGCTCTCGCTTACAAGTTCCTTTCTGAAGAGGGTGAATGGGGCACGAACCGCATCAACGATCTCAAGCGCGAGCAGGTAGAGTGTGACCTGCACTTCGCTGGCTTCTTGGTCCTCCAGTGCCCGCTCAAGGATGATGCGATTGAAGCTTGCCGCATGTTGAACGAGTCTAGCCATCGCGTCGTTATGATTACCGGTGACAACCCACTGACAGCTGTACACGTTGCTAAGCAGGTCGAGATTGTGGACCGCGAATGCTACATCCTTGACGCGCCTGAGAATGACGAGTCTGGGGAGAAACTGGTCTGGCGCAGCGTTGACGACAAGACGAACATCCCTGTGGACCCAACCAAGCCTCTGGACAAGGAGATCCTAGACTCGAACGATATCTGCCTTACCGGATACGCGCTTGCAAAGTTTAGTGGCCAACCTGGATGGAAGCAGATTCTACGACACACTTGGGTATACGCACGCGTTTCGCCGAAGCAGAAGGAGGAGATCTTGCTCGGCCTCAAGGACTGTGGTTACACGACGCTTATGGCTGGTGATGGTACGAACGATGTTGGCGCCCTCAAGCAAGCTCACATCGGCGTCGCTCTGCTCAACGGTACGCGCGACGATCTCGACAAGATCGGCGAGCACTTCCGCAACTCCAAGATGAAGGAGGTCTATGAGAAGCAATGTGGATTGATGAAGCGATTCAACCAGCCCCAGCCACCTGTTCCCATCATGATTGCACACCTATACCCACAAGGCCCTACGAACCCGCACTACGAGAAGGCTATGTTGCAGCAGGCTCAGAAGAAGGGTCTTGCCCCGGCTAATGGCGCTACTCCCGCACCGAACGGCGCGCTTGCGCAACAACCCAACCCGCAACAGGCGGCTGCTGGGCTCGCGAACTCGCTTACGGAGAAGATGATGCAGTCTGAGCTTGAGGAGCTGAATAACGAACCCCCTACGATCAAGCTTGGCGATGCGTCTGTCGCTGCTCCTTTCACCTCGAAGCTGGCTAATGTTGTTGCGATCCCGAACATTATCCGTCAGGGTCGATGCACGCTTGTTGCGACGATTCAGATGTACAAGATTCTGGCGTTGAACTGCCTCATCTCTGCATACAGTTTGTCGGTGTTATATCTCGATGGTATCAAGTTTGGCGATGGTCAGGTCACGATCTCGGGCATGATGATGAGTGTTTGCTTCCTGTCCATCTCCCGCGCGAAGGTACGCCACACCTCCCTCTTCCCAGCACCAAACCCCTGCTAACACAACGCCAGACCGTCGAAGCCCTCTCCAAAGAGCGCCCCCAACACAACATCTTCAACATCTACATCATCGGCTCCGTCCTCGGCCAATTCGCCGTCCACATCGCAACCCTCATCTACGTATCCCAATACGTGCAGCGCACCGAGCCCAAGGAACCAAACCCAGACCTAGAAAAGGAATTCGAACCCAGCCTCCTCAACTCCGCAATCTACCTCCTCCAGCTCATCCAGCAAATCTCCACCTTCGCTATCAACTACCAGGGCCGCCCCTTCCGCGAATCCATCCGCGAGAATAAGGGCATGTACTGGGGCCTTGTGCTCGTCTCGGGTGTGGCTTTCTCCTGCGCTACGGAGTTTATTCCTGAGATCAATGAGAAGCTTAAGCTTGTGCCGTTTACGAGCGAGTTCAAGGTTATGATCACGAGTATCATGGCGCTTGATTTCGGCGCGTGTTGGATCATTGAGAAGGGGCTCAAGTGGGGGTTCAGCGATAATAAACCGAAGGATATTGCGCTTAGACGGCCTGACCAGCTGGAGCGCGAGAACAGGAGGAAGGAGGAGGCGGTGGTGGAGGCGCAGAGGAAGAAGAATGAGGCCGAGGAGGAGAAGGCGAGGGCTGTGGGGTTGATTAGGTAGGAGGCTTTCAGGATGTGTTTTGTGCATTGTGCATTGTGCATTGTTTGCGGGGTGGGTTGGGGCGGGTGTAGGATATTGATCGGGGTTATGAAGGCGATAGCTAGATGGTGTGGTGTAGAATTCAATCGCATGATCTGTCGCTTATGTGCAGGTGGTATATCACGTGCGTGGGAGATGAGGGGGTGTATAAACCTCTCGATCTTCTGTGATGTTCCTACGCGACACTTTCTCCAAAATCTCATCTACTTCCGCCAAAAACAAAAACCAGTGGAAAAGCTGGGCATGTCTGCGCCTGCCTCTCCGCTTTCCTTCCTGTTCTTTTCCAAAATGGCGCAATTAACAGCTCGATGGCTGGACGTCTCCTCTCAAAACACCAGCCGTCCATGACGAATGTCTGGACGCCACCTTTTCCGCTGCCTATCTTTCATCAAAAAAAGCTATTGGACTACATGCATGTCCTGCTCTGTCCTGCTCTGCTTGGTATCTTGAAAAATTTATGGAGGACACTCGGATGTGTGGACTTGTCTTTTTCTGCTCTGCTCTGTAATCCCTTCAAAACCGCGACCATCGGGCGGCATGTCTGGGCGCATCTACTGCTCTGCTCTGCTATCTAAAAAAAGTTCATGAGGCACGCTCCAATGTGTGGACGTTTCCTCCTTTCGACTCTTATCCTCTCCTCGGCAGTCTTCCAAAAGAGAGTAGTGGCTTTGGCATGTGCGTGTGCCTTCTGGATTGAATTAAAAAGTTTTTGCTGAGCTCGTCATGTGTGGGCGCCTGCCCGCTTGTGTTTATTCAACTCAAAAACCAGTACGCAAGAGCTATGTCTGGGGTTTTGCTCTTTTTCTGTTTACTTGTCAAAAAAAATTGTGGATACCGGCATGTCTGGACGTCCTCTGCTCTGTTGTTTATCTATCAGAGGTTTCCATCACTGTCCCATGGCGAGGCGCTTGTTATATATCTATGTTTGTCTATCAAAGATGACGATACGGTGTGCTATGTCTGGGTGGCTTCCCCCCCCCTCTTCTGCTTATTCACCAAAGAATCTATCACATGGACCATATGGCCGGACTTCTCCTCCTCTTCTACTCTCTTGTGTATTTATTAAAAACACATTGAACTATGGCATGGCTTAGCGCTTTTTTCATCTTTATATCCATCTACTCAAAAGTGATATCATGGTGTAATATGTCTCGGCGACCGTTCTCCCTTTTACAAAAAAATGTTGGAGACATATCCATGGTTGGACCTCTCCTTCTCTCTCATCTACCAACTCAAAAACCGTGCAAAAGCCTTTTATGTCTCGCTCCTGTACTCCTCTTTAATCGATGTCTTGAAGTATTTTGCTTCTGAAGTTATGGCTGGACCTTTTCCCTGCTCCTTTGTTCAAAATTGGAATCAAAAGGATTCATGTCTGCCTTTACTCTTTCTTTTGGATAAAACGGAGATGCTGCATAACAAACATATACCTTATTATCTCTTCTCTCGGTTGTGCTCAATCTTCCTGGACAGCGACCAATGTCCGAACGGCTGGAAATAACCAACATCACCTTTATGTGTGGACGGCTCTCCGGGGTTGAAGTGAAAACAGTTGAACTAAATTGTTACGTCTAGGGACGTTTGTTCATCTTTTGCAATATATGTTAAAAGCCAGTCTCGGGAATTCGCATGTCTGGCTTTCGTCTCTCCTCTCTATTTTGACAAAAGTATTGCACAATTGCTGTTGATGTGGCTGGACGTGCCTTTTGGGTTTACTTCTTACTTATAAAAATTGCGGAGATATTTGGCTTGTGTCTGGATATGTGAGCGGTTCTTTTATCTATTGATGGAAGTATCCAGCAGGTTTTCCTATGCTGGATTGTGTCTTCCTCCTCTTCGTCTCGGTCCTTGGTTTTATGGAAAAGAAAGAGCTGCGATTATGTCTATACTTCTGCTTCTTTCCTGCTTACAAGAGTTGGTGAGTTGGCGAAACATGTCTGGTTAACACCTCTCTGTTGTGTCGAAGATATAGCAGAGATGTATCTGCTGGTCGGACGTCTCCCAAGCCTCCTCAAAGCTCTTTACCTTTTAAAAACTCCACTACGGGATATCATGTCTGTTGTCTTTTCTCGTTCCCTACATAAAACTACTCATCGCTCAATACATGTGCGGATTTCTTTTCCCACTCTCAGTTATAGGCCTGTGCTTTCTACTTCACAAAAGTTCTATCAGTCTTCAAAATATCTTTGGAGGTCTCCTCCCAGCCCTTGCCGAAACATGCCATCTGTTAACCCAATGTCTGGGCTTTTCCTCTTTTTTACTACCTCTTAACTTGAAATAAAAAGCACTAAGCTTAATATATACTTCTCTTGCTTTTGTCTTCTCCTAAAGCTATTATAGCAGTTGTTTATAGCTAAACGTCTCCTCTTCTCCTCTTTCTTAGCTAAAACGTTAAGGAAGTTAGTTATATATATAGACGTCTTTTCTTATCTCTACTAAAGAACTTGCGTAATATATAATTATATATATTACTCTCCTTTCTATTCTTGTTAAAACTAATATACAATGCCTTAATAGCTAGAGGTTGTCTCTCCTGTTCTACTTACTTATTAAAATACAAATTGTCTTTAACTATATCTAGCTGTCTTCTCTTCTTAATTCTATTTAAAAAGCTTTAGTTAACACGTTTATAGCTAGAAGATCCTTAACTCTCTACTTAACACGTTACAAGAAAGTATAATATACTAGCAGCTATATATACCTTTATTTAAAACTTTAAGGCTACTCTACTTATCTGCTATTCTTTATATTTCTAGAAAAAATAACTAAAATTAATATCTAAATAACTTGTTTTCTTATCTTAACTAGAAGAGTAATAAAAATAAAATATTTACTTAGCTATCTACTTCTCTACTTAAAACTTAAGTTAGAAAAAAGTCTACTTTTCTTTCCTCTAAAGAGCGTTAACTATAAAATTAATAACTTATTACCTTTCTCTTTAGCTTCTCCTTCTCTTAAAGGTATATAATAGGCTAGGCCTAGTAGAACCTTAGTAAGTAAAGCCTTAAAGCTTAGTAGGCCTAACTACTAATACCTACTCTACTACCTACACTTTAGAAACTCTTAGTACGCTACTAGAAGGACTATAAGTAAAGAAAAACTAGTACTATAGATCTTTAGTAAATTTATCTAATTTATACTAGTAACTACTCTTAGAGTTAACTTCTTATATTTAAATTTACTTATAAAAATACCCTTAGGTATTAGAAGTACCTTAGAAACTACTAGTAGTATATCTATTAAAAAAGATACTATAGTTACTAAGCTAAAAGTAGAAGCTTTATAGCTAGTAGAGATAGGCTTTATATAAAAAGTATTTAAAATATACTTATAAACTATAGTAAGATAGAACCTAAATAAATAGAAAGTTTTACTAAAACTTTAGCTAGTTTCCTAAAGTCTCTAAAAAAATAAATAATAAATAATAAAGTTTATAAATATACTAATCTTAATAGCTAGCCTATTATTAGTAGTAACTAAGAAATAACTAATTAAAGAATCTAATAAAGGGTCCTTCTTAAAAGAACTATATAATACGCTATAGATACTAACTTAGAAGATTAACTTTCTTAAAAATAATATACTACTAGTACCTACTTCTTTTAAATAAAGAGTTTAATAATTAAAAGAAGAGGTATATAAACTAAGAGTAGTTCTAGAACTAACCTTTCTTATAGTAACTACTAAAACTTATATAAAAAACTTTAAGATACTAAATCTTAACTACTTTAATAGTAACTAAAAGAACTATTAGAGGTTCTAAACCTAGATAAACTATAAGCTAAAATATAATATTAGAAAATTAGAATTAAGCTCTAGGTATATCTTTAACTAATTAAAGAAGCCTATAACTAGTATTACTCTATTATAGATAGATTATAATAAGATAGGTACTATAAAAGGCCTAGAAATATTCTTAAATAAATAATTTATAGATAACTTATATATTAAAAGGGCTAAGTAGAAACTTTAAACTTTTTAGTAAAAAAAGCTTTCCTTATAATACTTTAATATAGAATTTATAAGGCTAGCCTTTAGAGTAAAAGAGAAAAGTAATACTAATAACCTAAAAATAAAGTATTTTAGTACTTTATAGCCTAACCTATAAGACTAAATAATATCTATAAAAGTACTAAGTAACTAAACTATCTAGTTACTAATAACTTAAGTAATTACTATTAAGAAAAATCTTTTTAAGGCTAAGATTAGGTCTACCTTCTTATATATAAGGTCTTTTTAGAATAACTTTATAAATTAGAAACTTTTAAAAGCTTACTTTAGTTAGGTAATTAAAGTAATAGGTAAAACCTAGAATAAAGCTAAATAGGCCTTTAAAGAAAAGCACTCTCTTTATAAAAAAAAGAACCTATATCTATATTATAAAAAACTTAAGTATTATACTAATAAGTACTTTCTAGTACTAGCTAATTATTTAGCTTAAGCTACTCTTATAGTAACCTATAACCTAGAAGAGTTCTTAAATAAAGAAATAGTAAGTTTAAAAAACTAAAAACTTCTATATATAGATATAAGTAAAGGTATAAGAAACTAAATTAAAAAGAAAAGTAGTTTTTATTATTTTAGTAGAACTAGCTAAATAGAAAACTATTAACTATCTATATAATTATAAATAATATAGCTATAGTATCTATCTTAATTAAAATTAGTTACTTAACTTATTTAGTTATCTCCTTTAAGTTTATAAAAAATAATAATTTAAAGTATATTATAATTATATAAAGACTTATTATTAAAGTAAAAAGAAAGTTCTCTTAGATAAAAGTAGCTATTTAAATATAGATAGATATAAATAGCTATAAGAAAGAAATATAGGCTTATAAGCTAAAAGAAGATAAAGAGTATAACTTTATTCTAGAAAGACTCTAGATAAATAGATACTAAGTAACACTAGTACTAGTAAAGAAATCTATATTTATCTATAGTAGCTAGACTAAAATATAAAGCTAGAAAGGTAAAATACTTATAAAAGTTCTTAAAGCTATTAGTATATAGGCGTATTTAGCCTAAGCTAAATAATTTTAAAAAGATAAATAGATCTAACTATATTCTACTTTTATAGTAGATATTAAGAA